TGTAATCTGCAGGGGAGAGGAAGGGACACTCACTGGGAGCCCCCGGGAGGAGCCCCCCGGGAGCTCCCAGACCAAAGGAGTCCCGTGGGGGCCACAGGGGACCCAAGGGGACGGAGGGGCTCCCAGGGCAAACAGACACACGCGGACAAGGGGCGCGCTGGGAAGCTCCTGGGCTAAAGAGGGATAGAGGGAAGTTCATGGGGAGCAAAGGGGCCCCAAGGGGTCCTGTCGGCTCTACCTCCCCGTCGGACACCCCCTCCCCACAGTCTCTGACCTGTCACCACGCCCAGTGGCACCAAAGATGGGGAGGAGGACAGGAACATGGAGCTGGCCCTCACCTGCCACTGCCAGCCAGATGGTGCCACTGGGCTGCAACGAGAGGTACGACTGTCCCTGGGGCTGGTGGGTGCAGGCATAGGTGTCCCCTGACCCTTGCCCCCCAACTGGTAGCCTAGCAACCCTGTGTCTATAGGGTCTATAGGTCATCTATAGGGTCTCTGAGGAGTCGGCAAGGCTCAAACACATCTGAAGGAAGCTGTAATCCTCTCCTTGGGCCCCTATTACAGCTGCTTTCTTCCCCACATCCTCTTTTCTAGTTGCCCCAGGACGTGGCAGATGTCAGCGAGGAAGAGAAGAGTAGGATGTGGCTGGGGGGGATGTCTCACCTCTCACCACCAAATCCAGGGTCTTGCTGACAGCAGACCATTCGAACGAAGTAGTCCTGGTGAAACACTGGCAGCTGTAGCGTCCCTCATTGCCTTTATGCACAGGGGAGATGTTGAAATAATCTCGTTCCTTTGAGAGTAATTTGAGGGCTTTGATCTGGCCCTCCAGGTACAGGAAACAGCCGGCTTTGGAGTGTGCGATGGTGCAACGGAAGATCACGTAAGCTCCTGCAGCCACCTCATGCCCAGGCAGGACAGAGAGGACAGGTTTGGGGAGACTGAACTCTGGGGGGAGAGGAGAGAGCATGAGAAGGTGTGCAGGGCTTTGACATGGTGCCAGGAGCCACCGGGATCTCCATGACCCCACCACCTGGCTCAGACAGAGGTGAAGATGGTCCCCACCTCTCCAAACTAAGGAAGAGGGGAAAACCCCTGCCTGTCATGTGGACGGGGAAGCCAAGTGGCTACGTGCACCCCGGTCTGCCCACGTGGTGTCTGACCCCACGCAAAGGGGTAACAGCACATCTCTCACCTTGCACTGTGACATCCAGGGTTTCACTGCGAGCCAGCACAGTGCCTCCACTCAGGTAGTGGCAGCTGTAGGCACCTGTGTCCTCTTGGGTGGCACTAGAGATGGAGAAGTCAGCCCTGCTGCCTCCCAGTTCCAGGGTACGGTTGCCATTCTTGTACAGCACGAACTTCCCACTGTCACACTGGCAACTGCAGCAGATGGTGGTGGAGCCTCCTGGTGGGATCACCCCGGGCGGCTTCAGGAAGATGGAGATTGTGGGGGCACCTGCACAGGGAGAGAGATGCTGCCAGACAGACAGGGAGTCCCCAGCGCCCAGCTGCCCTGCAGTGAGCCTGGGGCTGGCTCCAGGCCCCATCTCCACACAAGGGCAAGTTTTGTTCTGTGGGGCTGGGGAAGAGCCCTGGGAGATGGGTGGGGGCCCAGAGATGTGTCCAAACTCCCCGTGTACCCCCTCATGATACTCACTTGGTGTAGCCTTGCTCTGTGCCACCAGCCAAGCACCTGCAAGAAAAACAGCTGTGTAACATCTCTGTGGAGTCTCTGGACGCCTCATGTCCCTCCCTGGGAGCCCACACAGCCTCTGGCACTCACCGAAGGCTAGCATGTGGGTCACGGGCAGCATCGTGTCCCTCTTGGCTCCCTCTGTCCTTGGCTTAAGCAGGGCTTCTTCAGAGAAAGGCGTTGGCTGGAGGCACTGAGCAGCTGGGTGGCTTCTTGTGGGTCCTGATACGTCCTCGTTGCCACAAGCCACCTTCTGTCCCACAGCTTGGGTTTCTGCAGACACAATTGCAGGGCTGGGATGGTTGAACTGGAACCAGAATGTCCCAGTCACCTGCCCAGGGCTGGGCACCCGTGATGACCTGGCTTTAGGATCCTGTGGACCTTAGGAGAGAAGCTACCGGGGCTTTTAGTTTCTCTTTCTTGGCTCTGGTCACTTGATGGGGAAATGGCTTCCTCTCAGCCCTTGCGAAATAGGGTGATGTTCTGCAAGCAGGGCGGGGAGAAGAGACAGCGCAGGACTCTTTCTGAATCTCTGTGAGAAAGCTCCAACAACAAGTGGTGTCATAAAATAGCTGTTTTAATAAGACAGAATAAAAAGGGGACTATAGATAGCAAGTAAATCTTACATCCCTTCGGAGGCAGGGCACCCCAGTTTCCTGCAGCATTGGTGGACCCTGGATAGATTTTCCCACGGCATGCTGGGCAAATCCCATCTGTGGAGATGTGCCCAGCATCTGAAGGGGCGTAAGATTTACTTGCGATCTATATTCCTCTTTTTTATTCTGTGCCATTAAAACAGATATTTTATTGCTCCATTTGCTGTCAGGCTGTCCTGGTTTCGGCTGGGATAGGGTTAAATTTCTTGCTAGTGCTGTGTTTTGGATTTAGTATGAGGAGAATGTTGATAACACACTGATGTTTTCAGTTGTTGCTAAGTGCCCTCCTAGTCCAAGGACAGCTCCCGTGCCTACTGACTGAGCTAGGTACACGAGATGGGAGGGAACATAATCAGGACAGCCAGCCCAGCTGGCCAATGGGGTATTCCATACCATGTGATGTCATGCTCAGTATATGAATGGTAGGCGTGATCCAGGAAGTACCGATCGCTACCTGGTTATCGGTCAGCGCGGGTGGTGAGCAATTGCATTGTGCATCACT